GTGACACGTGCTTTTTCAGCAAAGCCACTGTTAGCAAAAACAGCATCTGAGAGTCAGTGGATCAGAGATAAGAAGGCTGCTTCCTACCCACTTTTTAAAAATAGAAGTGAAAGTTATATTAAGTCTTGTAAAGGAATAAACGCTTTAAAAGAGAAGCCTATCTGAAGACACATTCCTTCATTTAGCACTTTTGCATATGCATTTCAATAAGAAATGTGCCTGCAGAAACATCCCAGGGATAAAAACACAGAGAACCTCTTTATGAAAGTAATGTATAGGGATAAAAAAGTTTTCCCCTATATTTTAGACTAACATTGGGCATTTTTTAGTTAGGACAGTTTGAAGCAGCGTGCTTCTTCAGCAAAGCCCATTAGCAAAAACAGCCTTTGTGAGCCAGTGGATTAGAGATAAGATAAGATAACGAGGAGCTTCTATTTAAACAGGTCTGATGATTAAAGATGGCTGCACCTCGAAGGCCCTGGCCAACACTAGCAGTCAAGCCTCTCTGAAGAGACGTATCTATGGGACCTGAAGAGTGTTTGAGACGGGTCATGGGAGCGGGGAGACAGGGATAGTGAACAATGCCTGTACCCACAAGAACGACGCGGTGGAGAAACACGAGGCCAGACCGCTGGGCCAAGATTTCTTTGAGACTCTGGATCCCAGCCAGGAGAACCCAAACAAATCAAACAAAGGGCTGTCCGGAGACGAGGCACAGGTACGTTGTATGTAAGAATGTTCAAGGGATGGTTTGGCAGGGACCCAATCACCGGTGCTCGGTTGGCTAGAGCCTTTTGGATCACGCCTGCACAGAGACATATTGCATTTGTTGTTGTTTGTTGTGTTTAAAAGCGTATGTGGAAGGGGTCTCTTGACACACCATGTAAAAGGTTTTAAAGCATGTTATGAAAAAGTACAAAAATGCCTTACCCGTATTTCTTCCTGTACATTTTTGAGCAGCTGAGCGATGGTTCTTCAGAGGACTTAGCGGTTCTGGACACCGAGAGCTGCGAAGGGTCCAGAGGATTGGGCCTGATCTGTTTTGGCCCAGACCCAGAACCAGATGCTCAACAGAATGCCGAAACAGCGGCAGATGCTTATTCTATAGGCCTGTACTATCTAATGTTGAGGGGGAAATTCGGTATTAAGCCGGTGCGAGTTCATAACCGTAAAACCGTGATGCATGCAACTGTGCGAGCAGCTGTGCACGGAATCATCAAGCACTGCCTGAGAGAGAAACAAAATGAAGATTGTCCTGGGTGCACCATAGATGCCCCTGGTCAAAGGCATCACGACTGCGTGTACTGGTCTTTAGATGTAAACTGTAAAATTAAAGACATTAGCAGTAGTTTGTGTCTGAAGAGTGTGTTAAATATCATCATCACATTGGGATACGCACTGCAGTGCCTCTGTTTAACCCGGGAACATTTAGCTCTAGGGGCAGAATTGGTGAAGAAAGTGACAGAGGCCAAGGACCCAAATAGCATTTCAGATGAAATCTTCAAACCGACAGATAAAGGAGGAAAAGTTAAGGGGTGGGATGTTCTGCAGATAGGCTATCTCTGAGCGTCATGCAGTCACAAAGTGTTTTCTTTTGTCTTACAATCAGAAAATGGAATAAAATACTTGTTACAACTGATTTTGACTCTATCTGATTATGTTAATTATTGGTTTCTGTATGTATAA